CTTGCACTCGTCTTGAATAGTTGCAGTTGATCTCGTCGGGTGGTAGCTACCTCTACAAGATCCCTCTATTCAAGTAGTATTTCCCCACGTTAGCAATGGTTACCAAATCCGTAACCAAATATTGCATCAATAGACAAGGTGCGGCAAGAACACAGGGTGGCATTGGATACAAAACAGCACCCCTGGAAGCAACCAAAACAGCTGTCATGGTAGCGATGCCAAAATAGAAGGAATGAGGGGGGGCAAGGCAAAGGACCCCTGAATTCTAGCATGCCGAATGGCACCCTTTGGGTCTAGTTTGGGAACCTTGGCCACCGACATCTTCATGCCAAGCTTCACTCTAGATGGCTGGCGCCTTCTTCTGCTTCTTCTTTCAATGGTAGGATGGACGATACTCTCTTGCTGCTTTGGTGGGAGATGAGCCAGCTGGGTATGCTGGAGCTGTTATAGGTCAGCGTGGCTGTTGAAGCTATCCCAGAGGAATTCTGAGCTCTTGCTCCTAGAAGTATCGCCGAGTGTGATACCAACTTCTTTCGAATGAATTGGCTGCTTTCCTCTCTTTGGTTGCTCACATGCTAGCAAGTAGTACCCATCTTCGCGGTGTGTGGTTCCAGTCTATGCAGCGGGCAGACTCTCGGGGATATCTGGAAGCGCTCATTGGCATGATTACAGGTGGTTTCTCACATCCCCTGACTCGGAAGATACTGGACCCATCCCATAGTAGAAGACATTGAGACGGCCACCAGTTGGGGCTCACCTTCATAGCGAGGCAGTACGAGAGCAAGTTGGATGCAGTCGTTAGGGCATTGCTCAGGCTGGGGCTCTCAGATGTGTTGGAGGATGTATTTCCCCATACCTCGAATTATTTATTGACTAGTGTATTCCAATCTAGTCCGGTTCGCATGCATATTCATGATGCAGGAACCGAGGAAGTTCTAGGTCTAAAGTGTTGCGGGGGTCCTTTTATCCAATTCAATCAAAAGAATTGATATAGACCACCAGAAAATCCTCACTTTTGCTTTTCAGCTTAACCAAAAACCGAATTACCCCTCAATAAGCTGCAGTTTTACTAGCAAACAACACTGAAAAGCAAAAGTCTCATCTCGAGTTCAAGATCAACACCTCGAGATTGATATCAACAAGTTGACCTAAGAGTATCAAGTAAAAGCATTTGCACTACGCTAAAAGCTACTGTAAAGATCTTTCGAGTGTTTTGAGTTTGAGAGAATGAAAGTTATGAGAGAGATTAGAAAGCTACGAAAACTAATCCATAAGAGAGATCGTTGTGAAGCTCATTGAATGCGTCGATAGTGCTCCAGTCTCGAATGGCTCATGGTATCTTTGGTTGTGCTTGCCGCTTTGGCAACAACTTGGTGCAACTACCGACACCTTTGGCCCATGAAATATTGTATGATGGGCATCTCTGTCCACCTAGAAATAGCTAGCTATAACCTGGTAAAGCCTCAGTTATTTGGAATTGCCAGTATTGTCGCATGGTATCATGCGATCTGATCTCCGGCTTATCCTCTGCTAAGCTTGCTTCAAGCGCAAAAGATTCGCCAGCCCTTGCACGATAAGGAGGATCTCTTGCACGTATTACCAGTAATTCGAAATAAGTAACTCGTACAAGAAATTTGGAAGCAACCACTCGACACTTCCATCCAAGAAATTTGGAAGCAACCACTCGACACTTCCACCTCCACCATCGACCACGAGAGCAAACCTACCGACACTCTCAACCAGAGAGCAAACCTATTGACACTCTCACACAACACGCAATCGAAAGACGAAAGACGCTTTCAACAGCCAACAACAACAACAAGAACAACAAGAAAATCGCCACGACGCAACCGTTTGACCGTTTGAGAAGGTATCCAGCAGTCCACCTACCAAGTCAAGGGTGCTCTACAAGCTGGTAACAATATCTCTTTGTTGATCCACCTCATTCAGTCAGCCGACGGCAAACTTCCTGTTGGTAGCTCATTGTCACTCTATTGTACTGGACATACATTGTACTGGACTTTTGCCGCACCTCTGTACTGTTCCATTCTGTTCTGAAAGCAAGCAGAGCCTTTTCTTGGATCTTCCGAACTCCGTGAGCAACCAGGACGAGAGCAACCACACACACACCGACGAAACGACGACACACAGCAGAAACTCGCTACTAGCCAGCTACCAACATCTTCGTTTTGAGACCACAGCAACAGTAATTTATACAGTAACTTGCCGTTGTTTATTTAAGATTTCTGCTGGATACCTGCTGAATGACCCAGAACTCACCCAGCAATTCATCTGAATCCAACGACTCCAACCAACCAGAACCTTCAACAGCTATTCCTAGCAACCTCTACGAATACATTTCCAGTCTCGTGTCACCCACAGCAAACACTTCGGCTGATCCAGACTCTCGAACCTTCTCGTTTGATTCCAACGAAATCGAAACCAACATGGCTGAACCTGCGCCCACTGTCAATCCAACCTTCACTCAAGACCAGCTCCTCGAACTCCTCAGGGCCGCTGGACGACAACGGGATGCATTTCCTACTCTTGAGAAGCCCCGTGTTGGAGGACTCAATGCGACTGGAGCTTGGACTGGACATGGTGTCGGCGGAGAAGGAACTTCTCCCATGAGCGCCCAGTGTATGAGAGACTTCAAGACGGATGTGATCAAGAACCATCAAGCTCTTTCTCCCATTGAACTGAAGTGCAAAGAGGGACTGAGTGGCTCACCCGACCTTCTGTTTAGTCTCCCTGGCGAACCAAATGCGGACAAGGCAGTGCCATAGCTCATTGCTCTAAGCGAGTTCATGATCCCAGTTGGGATGGAAAGCGTCTTTAGAATCATTCAGACCGATGGCACTCAGTTGGACATGCTTCTCCAGCCTGGCATGGTTTCCAGTGACATTGAGCGAACTTGGCATAAGGATCTAACGGTCAATGGAGTTATCAAAGTTGATGATCAGGGCTGTCCTGTCATGGTCAACGGTGCTGTCGATCGTTTTGCTCAGTGCTCATACGATGCCCAGAACCTGCATTGGTCAGGTGAAGCCGTGCTCAACTCTTGTTCGCCAACACTCATGCAGGACCTTAAGCAAGTAATCCCAAAGCTCGCTAATCGAACTGGTCCTCATGTTCTATTTACCATTCTGAAGAAGATTTACCGCCCATCCAGCTCCAAGATCAAGAGTGTTGTCAACAAAGCTGGAGGCACTCAAGCTGACAGATTACCCTGGGGAAAATGTCTCTCACTTTGTCCATGATGCATCTGCTATTGTCCGGGAAATTCAGATGAACCATATGCCGAATGCAACTGTCCCTGACTTGACGACATCGGCTCTCAAGGGTCTTACCACGGTGAGCGACCCATTGCTTCTCCAAAGTATGAGGGAGCTTCGTCTTGCCAATGATGTCAGTGGATTTGATTCGACCAACAAACAAGGATGTGTCCGATTGCCGCTCTTCGCAAAGGTGAAGACCTTTACACCGCGCTTGTCTCTCAAAGTGACTATGCACCTGCCAAACAGATATCTTCTGATGCCAAGCACAAAGCTATGCTGACTCAAATGGCTGCCATGGAAATGGCTGCCATGGTGGCTAAAGAATTGAAGACCACACTTACTCAGGACAGGTCTGGCGGTGGCGGCAGCGGTGGCAGTAGCAGCAGCGGTATCAAGTGTTGGACATGTGGGGGTGACCACATGCAGCGTGATTGCCCCAAGTCTGGCAGCAGCTCTGGATCTAGCGGCAGCAACAGTGCCACTGGTCGTGGCATGGCCAAACATGGACTGGATGAGGCCACTGTTGCAAAGGTGAATGCCCATTGCAAGGAAGTATACAAGACAATGCCTCAGCTCCATGCCAACATTCCTGACGATGCCCAATACTCTGTTGTCATTGAAGGCAAGACCCTAGCCAAGTTCTGTCGTCACTGTGGTCGCTTCTCCAAGGGAGCCAGTGCCCACTATACGAGTGAGCACAAGGGAGTCAATCGAGTTGCATATGTTCCTGCTAGTGGTGCTGAATCACCTCCTGCTGCTGTTGTACCACCACCCCCGGTGGACACAGGGGCCACTGCTGGAGGAAATCTTTGTGGTGCTGTTCGATTTGCTGATGCTCCAGTTATTGATCCACAGGAGTTCATGCAGCGGGATGAAGTCAACTATGATATGGGCAGTATCCCCCATCGTCTGCGAGTCATCCATATCTTCGAAGCCGATTATAACCTGCTTCTAGGAGTGAAGTGGCGCGAACTCCTCCACCATGCCTCCAAGCAAGGGCTGATCAACAAAAGGCAATTTGGTTCCGTTCCAGGGAGGTCAGCAATTGATCTCTGTTATATGGAGGAATTAGAGTACGAAGTATCACGTTGTTGCTTGCACCCCCTAATCAAGAATGACAATGACGCAGCCGCGTGCTACGACAGGATTCTCATGTACATTGCCAGTCTTGCAAGCCGCAAGATGGGTATGCCGGTACGTGTCTGTAAAGTGAATGGAATGAATCTGGAACAGGCCCAGTACCATATCAAGACCACTCTGGGGACGTCAGTCACATTTCTCGGTCATACGGAGGAAGATCCCTGGCACGGGTCTGGCCAAGGAGCTGGTAACTCCCCAGCCTTATGGCTGTTTATTTCGAGCACACTATTTGATTGTTTCGAGCCCTATGCGACTGGCGCCACCTTTGCCAGCCCAGACGGCTCAAATTGGGTCAAGCTGTTCATGCCAGGGTTTGTTGATGATATGAATTCTAGAACGAATTGCTTTCTTACCAACACTATTCCCTCAGTGCAGGAACTGGTGGACAAGGCAACAAAAGATGCTCAATGGTGGAGTGATCTTCTGTGGTCGTCGGGGGGCAAGCTGGAGGCTTCGAAGTATTCCTTTCATCATCTCCGATATGAGTTCCGATCCAGTGGCGAACCAAAGCTGGTCTCGGGGACTGACTTTACACCATCAATCAAGGTGAAATCCACTGATGGGATCGTCACGCCGATCAAACCAGTTGACAACTACAATGACCACAAGTCCCTGGGGTGTTTCAAAGACCCGGCTGGAAATCTCACAGCACAGAAGGCAGCTCTGATCAAGAAATGCACCCATTATACCAGGGTTCTGAAAGGGTCCCCGCTGAATTGACGGGAAGCCAACATGTTCTATCGCAGCATTTTCCTTTCGAGTGTGGGTTACTGCTTGGAGACCACTTTCTTCAAGGATGGCGATCTTGATACAATTGAGTCGGCTCCACGCCGAGCTGCCCTTCAGAAAATGGGGTATAGATCGAATACTGCAAAAGTCATTTGCTATGGTTCCTGGAAGCTCAGGGGTATTGAAATGTTTCGACTCGCCGACAAGCAGGGAATCGGGGTCATCCAGCAGTTCTTAAAGCACTGGAGGACCAGGTGCACCGACATTGGAGACCTCAATGATGCCTTGGACTCCGACTGGGATGTCTTGCAGCAGATCGAGGATTCCTTTCGGGCTGCCGTCACAGTGCCCAAGATGGAACACATCAAATCGCACCAGGACAAGCACAAGGCCATTGAAACACTACCTTTGAAGGCTCAACTGAACTGTAGAGCTGATAAACTGGCAGGCAGTTACATGACCCGACACATCCAACAGGACCACTCCAAGGTGCTCCGATTTCCAGCCAACTTGGCCCAGCTGCACCTTCCCAAAGGAACGTGCACGTACAAGCTTCCCAGAACACTGCGGCATCTCAGGAACGACCAGCCCTTGTTCGACCACATTGTCAAATTTAATCCAGATTGGGACGAGGACACCCCCGCACTGGTTGATTGGACAGCCCACGGTCGTGCTGTCAACCGTCATGAAATCCACAAACCGACAATTGTGAAGTTTCTATTTCAATTGTTGCCTGTTGGGAAACGGATACACCGAGACAACCCCAAGTATGATCACCACTGTCCCCATTGCGGCGGTGATCATGAGACTGAGACCCATGTTTACAGATGCCCGCATGTTGACGTGGATTTGTGGCAAGGGACCATGCAACGAGCGATCAGTACAAAGTTACGCAAGGACTCCACAGACCCCTTCCTCCTGGAAGTTGTTCTTGATGGGCTTCAATATCACTTTGAAGACCGGTTCCTACACCCGTGGCATTATCCAGCACGGTATAGGGATCTTGTTGACACTCAAAATCTCATTGGTTGGGATAACTTCCTGAGAGGCCGTTTGTCCAAGCACTGGGCCAAGCACCAAGATGCCTATTTGCACCGAGTCGGCTCCAAGGAGACCACCAAAACCGGGCAGCTCTGGGTCACCAATCTGGCTTCTATTCTGATCCAGCAGTGGTGGAATCTCTGGGAGGACCGCAATGCCGCCAGGCACGGCCGGGATCAGGAACAGAAATGGCGCAAGAAACACAAACAGCTCCAATGAGAGGTTGAGCTCCTGTATGAAAAAGCGGACCTGCTCCCAGAGCATCTTCTTGATACCATCTTCAAACGACCCCTGGAGGAACAGATGGCCAAAGGGCCGGGGGATATCAAAGCATGGCTGGCCAATTGGCTTCCAGTTGTTGACAAAGCAATGAGGGATGAGCATGCGCGTGAGCAGCCTTCCCAATCAAGGTAACTATGCGCCGATGTGGGATTCCCATAGCAATAGCGGGTGATTTAGCCTAGAGTAGATAGTTAGTCGTACAGCACCCTCCGGAGTTTTGTTCAATTTCTCCGGTGGGCGCCCTCGTGCGCCTGAGGTATATGGGTTCGTCACGGCACCGTTCAGCGGATCGTCTGACGAGGTGTAGCCTTTAAAATAAAATTTCGTTATTTTTTTATATATGGGCAGTATCCCGGTTGTCGACCATCACTTGGCTGAAGCTTTGGAGGAAGACGACGAGTTTTCCTTCCTGTCTTTGCTTTTAAAAGGATACGGCAGGTAGGCCTACTTGCATATGGCCTACTGATTGTCGTTTACTTGCACCATGTCGGATATTATGGCTTATCCCCACAGCCAACACATGCTATGGAGGGAGATATTCATGGACCTGAACATACCATGTATTCCTCTCAGGAAAAGCCAGCTCTGCCATCTCTATGGAGATTCACTCAGTGGTCCTCAACATTTTGGACTCCATTTGTCCCAAGTCCCAGCTCGTTTGTATATCCCGCATCAATTGGTTTTCTCTTTCACTCAAGCTGTGTCCACCTACACCACTGGTTCTACAATTGGGTGCTTGCTCTTTCTGGCTTGTGTTGGGTATCATGGGCGCTTCGCTGCACCAAGACTGTCATTCCCACTTTGGAAACCCTCACTTTGGCAGATACCTATTCCAGTCTTCCGCCTCCTGAACGATGGAAAGGTTCCCAACGACGTTCACAGGCTCGCCAGGTTCCTTTCTCCAAGCAAAGACTACTAATGATGATGGGACTCCTCAGCTCTTCAGTGTGTCACTCACAGCCCAGTGCCCTGTCTCAGGACTTGGCTTTTGAGAAGCGCCTGAAACGCCTCAGGAGCCATAAAGGTGCACTTCGAACCAACAAGTTTGCGACAATACCATTGTGCATTGACTAGTCTAAGGATCTAAGAGATGTAAAAGTTTGTATTTCCAAATAAGTGAGCAGTTATTGATTATTTCTAGAATAAGCCTGCTAATTGTAAAGCTGTAAAGCTGAATTGTAAGCTGTATCCCGTCGCACTCCCTTACAGCTGAAATGAAGCTGGAGCAAGAAACGATAGGAGAGAGTCCCAGCAAAGTGCTGAGGTAAATTACCATCCCATGAGGAGCTTCCGAATGACAGAAAACTGTGGAGCCGGAAGACCTTAGTGAAAATGTCGGCCCTGTTCCAGAGTCGGAATATACTTGGCCACGATGCCTTTCGACTCTCCGATATTGGACCTGAAGAAGTGGTACTTCAATGCCAAATACTTGTTGCGCGCGGACATTTTGGGAATTCACAAGAGACAGGCAACCTGGTTGTCTTCGAACACTGTAGGGCGCACGAGACTGTCAGTAATTACCGGCATATTCAGTTTGCTACCAATTTTTTGAGCAAAGCTCGCATAGAAAGCAGCTCCCTCATTGACATGCTGAAGGCAACATACTCACAGCAGTGGAGCTCAAAGTAATGTCAGTCTGTAGCTTGCTGGACCAGATGATGGGGCACCAAACAAAGTCAAGACAAATCCAGTGCGAGACTTACGGACACAGGATCCTGTTCATCCTATATCCATACAATCCGGCGAAGTCAGCATCGACCCAACAATCAAGTCCCTGATCAAGTTTAGGG